TTGGTGAATAGTAGCCCTCTGAATAGCACCCAGCTTGGCTTGAATGAGGGGTGGCGCGGGGCGTCCGGGACTTGAGGGGTGCGATGTGGCTCACCCTGTGTCAATCCCAGCCAGTTCTTTAGACCTTCGGTGATTGGGAGTGTGTGGGTGGGGGTTAAGGTCTATAATTAGATCCTTATAGGGGGAATGGGTGAGGGGTGGAACAGGATCCATTTCCATGGTTTTCTGAAGCCCTTGCTGCAATATATGCTAGATCTTTGAAGCACATATGAAGCTAGACTTCTCCAGATTCCCAGATGTAGATGTCCGAAAGTCTTCGGACGTCGGGGATGTCCCGCACATACCACCCAGGCACCAACAAAAACACACAGGTTGACCATATATAGCCACCTTCTCAGGAGCTATTATATATATGTATATAACATATATATATATATATATATTGGGCCTGTCCTATTACCTGTAGCAGTGGATGATGATGTTTCGGTTGCAGGCCTTGTTCAAGAATAGTGATGTGCTTGTGCAACCGGGTCCTGTTACAGGCAAGAACGGACACACCCAATACATAAATATATGTTATAGAGTTGGATTCGGATCATGTCCCATTGAAGATCCGTAAGGGTCCAACCACTGGCGGCCAGGTCGTTCTTGGGAACCTGCCATCAGGTCCATGCCGCAACCCATGTGGTCAATGGAAACGGAAGCACTTGAGCCGTTGGCCGGAAATGGCGGCCTCCACCCCGAAGTCAAGTCTCAATCTCTCAAGGCGGAAGGGAAGGACGCAGCAAGTCTTGAGAGGTCCCCAAATGAACCATATGGATCCTCTGACCCTTAAAATCCTTAAGCCATTTCCCGGGAAAATGCGTTCAGTTCACCCAACTGTCCACCTGGATTTCACTGGAAACATCACAACCCCCGCCCAAAAAAATAGGGTGACCTGAAGGTGCTCCACCACAAGAATTCCTGGGTAGGAAGCACGTGGGTTGCTTCGGAAGCAGCAACTCGCCCCTCCAATCGGTGCAAGCGACTCCGGAAGCTCTTGCCGCCCTGGCGGGAATGGTGTCTGCAAGCCGAGATTCATCTGAAGAAAAAAAGGATGGGTGTTGGGGAGGACAGCATCGGACGTTGGGGAGTAAGACTGGAATAGCTACCTCAACCTCATGACAGTTCCCTCTTGAGAAAAATGAACAGACTCACTCAAAGGGCAAGTTGACCGGGCAAAAACACAAAACGATAGTGATCATGTTTTTAGCTACAATCTGGTGAACCTGGAAAGCTGGGGCGAGCTCAGGGCTGTTTGTTTCACACTTAAATTGAAGCCTTGAGCAAAACACCATTCGCCCTTGCACCACCTCACTTGCAGAAAATGGAATCCTTCTAGTTCAACAATGCCCTTGACCAGTGTGTCTTTCATCCACAGCTCCTCAAATCTGTCCCCAATATGATGTCCAGGAAGCCGGAAGAATGTGGCCATAATTCCGAAGAAGGGGAATAATCTATAATGCACACACACAGATATATATATATACAAGCACCTTCCAACAGGTCTCCCAAATGGAGGGTTGTTAGGCCCTAACAGGTTTCAATTGGTGACCTGTTGGAGGTGCTGGTATATATACAACATATATATACTGTATATGATTCTTGCAAAAGAACGCATCCACCCAATCCGCCCAACCCTACGCAGGCGTCTGACGCATCTAAATCTGCCCGCCTGCATAGCCAGGGTTCATGGTGATGAAGTAGCCCACAGACGGGACCAATTTGATGGGATATGGCTCACCTGAAGTTGCTTGGCGTTTGGCAAACTCGCAGCCGAAATCATTGGAGTTTCCATGGCCATCATTGGCCATCCCTGGAACAATGTAGGTGCCACCAAGTTAAGGCCTTCGGGTTTTGGCTGGTTTTTTTCAGTGAATCCTCCTGGTTCTCTAATGCCTATGACGTCGGCATTCCTTCGGGGTGGGGCTGCGTCAGGCAGGGCAGGTGGGATGCCGGCGGAGCAGCACCGTCGGAGCCTCTTCCATGTCCACATGTGCCAAGAGAGCCCAAATCAAACCAAGTTTAAGAGGAGAGCACGCGTTTTCACATTTTGAGATGCCAAACCACATGCTTGCCATGTGTGGCTTGCAAACTGGGCAATATACTAAGCCGATGCACTCCTCATTTTCGGGCACTCCAGTGCGGTGTTTTGACTTGGGCGACGTTCAGCGAGTTCGACACGCTGCTCGCGGCGTTGGACTGAGTCCGAAGATGTGCGTTTCGCGGCACCGTTTCGCATTGGATGTGTCGCATGGCATCAATGAACAAGGACGTTTTTGTTGCCGGGCAATGATACCCTAGGGCTCCAAGTACCTCCTCAGAAGGTGTTTGGAAGACAAGAAACCCATGGTTTTTATTCCAACTCCAGCTCGAGAGCAGCTTCTAGCTAGCTTCTCGTCATTCTCGTCATCTCTACACTCTTGCAAATCACATCAAATAACCAAGCCCCATCGTCACCGAAAGTGAGAAACAAATAGGATCAAATATGACACAAACTGCTTGGCCTTGAAACCTGGAAGAGGCAAAAATAGGCAACATGATTCAAGGCCCATTGTCAGCTTTAAAACGATACGACACCTTACCTTCTTTTCTTCAAGAAATCCCTTGCACCACTTTCTAGTACGTACACAATTCCCAGAAACAATTTCTGATTCAAAAGGCACTGGAGAAAATCTTGGCCGCGCTCTTTTTCGGAAAAAGGAAAACCTTCACCCACAGCAGGAAGTGGCCCTTCCTAATCTTCAAGTGGCCCGGAAACATGAAGTTCTTCAAGTTCTGCTTCTTTGCTTGCATGATCGATTCCTCAGTTGGGTGCCGCCATTTTTTGCCGAATTTGCATCCAGGGCCCCTGGACATGGTCTAGAGTCTATTCCCTATGGATCCACATACCATCCGAGGTGAGCAAGGAAACTATTTAGGATGTAGGCTCCGGGAGGGCCCTTAGGAACCAAAATGGACCGTACGTGATCCACTTACCTGACGTGTCCGGACCTTGCACCCACCGCCGAGATGGTTTCTGCACCGCACCCTGCCAAGAGGTGAACACCGGTTCCTTCAAAAAACACCTTGCCAAGAGTCCTGGCTGGACGACCTACTACACTACCTAAGGATCTCCGACTACCTAAGGATCTAGGATGTTCCTGGCTGGTTCGTGACCGTTCGTGATCGAACTGGATCTCTCAGTGTGTTCGGTCACGATGAACTGGGCCTGTTTGACAGGTCGGTTTGGGCACGGCACTCGACCGATCTCCTGAGCCAGGTGTCCACTTGGGTGGCCACCACGCTCAGGACCTCCAACTCGATGCGGTTGAACTCGTCGAAGCAGCCCCACAAACCGCTCATGCACAAGCCTCACCGGGGTGGTGTGAGGTGTGTGTCTGGATGGAGGGGGAGGAGAGCTGCCCGATTCCGCGAGCTGCAACCTGTGTCACAACCTTTTGAAGGCGCCAACGAAATGGTGCGGAACATTTTGTTGCCATTAACTCATGAACGAAAAAGTTACTGGAAAAAAACCTCTGGCCTGTTCCAGACCTGAAAAAGGGTGAATCCATGTGAAGCCAAACTGGGCCATAAAACATGCCAAGACATCCAAGACAAAAACTGGGGGTTCCAGAAGCCTGTGTGTCACAAGCCAGTTTCGTGGCCAACATCCGAGCCGACCGCCTCGGACCAACTCGGTGCCACCATGCACGGCCTGATTCTGGCCTGAGAGGACCCGAAAGAACCTGATCCGAAGCCCCTAAATCCATGCGTGACTTTGCTGCTTGGGCGGCCCGATGTGTCTGAACCATCTGAGATCCTGATCCAGCACTCCCGGACTAGGCTCGACATGCCCGCGGCTGGACCTGGCCCTGCTGGATCAGTTCACATCATTTTGTACAGCACCATCAGTACCATCAAAAACAAGACCGAGAGTCTACCTGCTAAGCAGGTTGACATGTGCTCTTCCCTCCCTGAACGAAACGCAAGCAGCTTGTTGATTGAATTAGAAACAACTCGGACAGCCACCCCAGCACCGACCACTACATCCGACCGCCGCCTTTGAAGATCTTTGCCATGTCTTTGAAGCGATGCTGGTCAGAGCCTTGGATAAAAACATGTGAGGAGGCCCTGCCCTGCAGTGGCCAAAAACAAGCTAGCAAGGGGTTGGGGATGTGGGTACCCCCTGCTCCTTAGCTCCTCCTGAGCACCAGCTAGCAATGGGCACCCCAGGCTCCCTAGCTCCCTCCGGAGCAACAGCTAGCAAGAGTTTCTTACTTCTTCTGCCAACGCCTTCAGGAATATCGACATTGATCCAATTAGAATTGAATATGCGGATGTATGACTAGGATGCACTGATGTACGAATATATTGTAAGAACCATATGAAACAATTTAGAATTTCCAAGCCTTTGTTGTTGTACTAGTGGTCATCGCCGCCGCCGTGGCAGCAGCAGGAGTAGTAGCAGCAGCAAAAGTAGAAGCAAAAGCACCACAGCAGCAGCAGCTATACCTACTACACTACTATACACTACTGTACTATACACTACTACTACTGCTACTACTACTGCTACTACTGCTGCTACTACTACTACTACAACAACAACTACTACTACTATTGGGGGGGGCCCCCAAGTGTTGGGTGATCGACCGAGCACTGACCAGCCATCGCGCCCATCCCAGCGGCAGTTGGTGACCACCACGAAAATCCCCAGCGTCCGTCCCATGTCCTGGACGTTGCTTTGGCGGAGTTGGGTCCCTCAAGGGTTCCCCAGGGGTCCTGATTCCTCAAATATCTATGCTATATATTACTACAATTGAGGTTCTATGGATAGTGTCCACATCTGATCCATAAATAGGGGGGGCCGGGGCCCCCCTCTCGCAAACCTCAAATAGACTGCATATTACTAAGTGTTTAGCATTGCATTTCCCCTAGTATAGGAGCAAGGAAGGCTGGAATTTCAGGGTAACACTAGTTAGCTTTATTGAGGGTGCGTTTATATAAATCTATCTTGGGATTTGCTTAGCTTTACAGTCTTCCTGGAGAACCAAATCGCCACAACCATCGGATCGTCACGTGTCAGTTGACTGGACAACGGTTCAAAACAACAGCAAGAACTGACCCGTTTGGGGGCTACTCCACATTTCTCTTGGTTTGGTAGAGCAATGCTAAGATTTGATTAAAGAAGGAAGTGCATGCGTCATTGCACACTCTCCCTACAGTATTTCTTTCTTCCGGTGGTTCCCTCTTGTGATGTGCACACAAAGAGCCTGGGACAGCCATGGTGCTTGAGTAGCAGCCATGGAATATGCTTGCACACACATTCTTAGCGCCACAATTGTGCTGCTGCTATGTGACCATGCCACATACCTGCCGTGGAGGCTTTTGCCCCGTCTGCCAATCATTTACCGCATGCTTGTCAGCCCCAGCCTCGCACAACAACCGTACAACTTCCAAGTAGCCATTCTCAGCTTCAACTCGAGGCAGTTGACTCACTGCAAGCTGAGGCCATTGACTCACTAGTTGACCAACCTTTGGTTGCCATATTCATGTCATTGGTGTCAGCTCCATACTCTAGCAACAACCGCGCCAGTGCCATGTCACCATCCTGATGCGCAGTCAAGCTGCGGCTGCGCCTCCATCCTCGATCAAGAACCGTACCACTTCCAGGTGATGTTCTAAGCTGCACATATCAAGCAGGCTGCCTAACATCAAAGCATTTCCGCGATCTGAAGCATTCTTGTCAGCTCCAGCCTGGAGTAACAACCTCTGGTGCGTTGTCAGTTTCAGCCTCGAGCAATGAGCAACTCCACCACTTCCAAGAAGTGGCCATGGAAAGCTGCAACACCCAAGGTGCCTTACTTGGATTTGATTGAGGAACCGAGAACAAGTAAAGAATATTTACCAAAGGAGATATCATCCATAGAGAAAAACACATCCTAAGCAGAACACCATTCTTGCCAGCTCCAGCCTTGAGCAGCAACCGTACCACGTTCAAGCCTGTTCTGCTTCAACGTGCGATAAACAATGGACAAACTCTCCACCTCTCCCATCGGGGTCCAGTGGTATCTGAAGCAAACTTGCAACTTCAAGCAGTGAACCGTTCTCGCAGTCAGTAGTGCCTCCCCAACGGTTTCCTTAGACTACAAAAGTTCAGGATTCCCGACTGCAAACCGGGCACCTGTCTGACAGGCATATCATCCACTCAAGAGTCGTTGCCAAACTCTTAAGGTTCCAACCCGACTGGTTAGGAGCTTCTTCAGATCCTCAACTATATGTTCATTCGCCACCATGTAGCCTAATTCCTTCTCATTGAGCCGAGTGAAAGTCGGCTGAGAATGGTTCGGCCTCACTCATCACTCCATTGAGTAGTCGCTCTTTGGGCAATGAGTAGTCGCTTGCAGATGGGCATCACACATGGACGCTCTTTGGGTACTGGGTTCCTTCTTTTGCAGCCAGACCAACAAGAAAGCAACATCCCGATAAGGCACATCGCTTCAACATCATTTCAGGTACAGTAGCAGCGAGGAAACCAAACGCAAGAACGTGTGGCATGCACGCGAGAAGCTAAGTCATTGTAGCAGGCACGCAACAACAGTTTTGTGTTTGCTCTTTGCCTTAGAAGTCCCAAATTCCATGAACCTGGAGGGAGCAGTCACGCAGCCTTCAATCGAAGCCTAAATGGACGAAGACATAAACACCAATGAATATGCAAAAAAACACATACATTTCACAAATATCTGATCTGTAAAACTAGAATTGTTAATAATTTGTATGTATATATGCCAAACACTCCATGGGACTGGTATATTTACCGATCAGGCCAGGAGTGGGTTTGAGAGGTCGATGGGGCGGCATATGACAGTCCCATGGGTCGTGGGACTGGGTCTCCAATGGTCTCCATTCTTCGATTCCGACCACTCCCAACACCGGTCACCAGGTTCTTGGTCTCCGGGGTCCTTCGTGGTCTCCGTCTTCCCGGTTCCGGCGGGTCCAGCGGGTGCGCCGCCAAAGTACATGCCCAGGGCCTCGCGCTGCGCCGTCGCCAAAGCTGGTGGGCCGAAACGTGGTGGAGTGGAGTTGGTCTTGTCCAGTGGAGTGGAGTGAAGTGAATATAGGTATTTTAATAGATGGAATTGACCCCATCTATGACCTTAATTGTATGCATTAAGGAACATTGAGGAACTAATATATACTGTATATATACTGTATATATATTCCATACATGGATGGTCCCAGTTTCAACCAAGAAGCCAACCAACCGCTGATTCGCTTGAAAGGGGTTGGTCTGGTGGTGTGGGACCGAAAACCCTGTAGCTCGTAGCTCTGCGGTGGTAATGAAAAAACACTGTGGTCCCTCCCACAGTTCAAACCCTTAGACCAAACATGTTTTTTTCATCCAGTTTGCACTTGCCGAATGGTGATTGAATGAACCACGCGATGCCGAGGAATCGTGTGAAGATGGGCCTGCCATGTTCAATGCATGCGCGTGATTCTGGCGGTGGTCCACCACGCGGGGGAAGGGTTCTGACTGTGAGTCCGTTAGCCAGTCCGCATCTCAACCACCCGGCCTGGGACTGAGTCAAGTAGCAGCGGTCGGTGAGAGCCTGGGTGAGACCGGTCGAAGGAAGACACAGTGGCGTGTGAAGCTGAAAGATGGCTGGTGCATGGGGCCATACCCAAGCCAAACATGCACATTTTCCATAATTTTGCTGCATATCATTTTATAGGTGTAAGGTCGGATTGCTGGGTAACTTTTTCCCAATTCCACAAATGGATACAAATGGCAAAGAACAACAACTCACATAAATCCAAACCACCCAAATGGAAAGATAAAGACCCACGCTTAATCTCTTCACTGCCTGTTTATCACCTCGAAAGCCCTTGGCTATGTCTCATGAAGTCCGAGGGTAGCTTGCCCAACCCAAACCCTCCAAAGGCCACCGTGCACCGGGTGGCCAAATACCGTCTGCTAAGCCTAACCACTATCCTATTGCGAACTCCAATAGACCAACGCTTAAAGCTATCTACTAGTAGTATGTAGTAGTTAGTAAGAAGTAGTAGTAGTAGTAGTAG